GAAAATACGGTAGGGTGGGTGGTAGGGTAGGGGGGTAGGGGTTGGTTTGGTTAGAGAAGTCAGGGAAGGCTTCTTGAAGGAAGAAACTTTTGAGCTGAGGGCTACAGGTAGGAGTAGGGCACATTCCAGGAACTGGTAGAGGCCAGGGCGTCTGGAGCCCAGAGAGGGAGGTGGGGGCCAGACACTGCAGGGCCTCTCAGGCCTGGGGAGGGATTTTGGTCTTTGTTCTTAGAGCTCTGGGAAGCCATCAGAGGACTCACTGCTGGAGCTGACATGATTGGGTGGAGCATTGACTGGAGGGATAAAAGTGGATGTGGGGAGACCAGAGAGGGGCAGTTGCAGTTATCCAGGCAACTGGGGTTATTTGGTTTAGGGGTTGCTGATAGTGATGAGGAGGCGTGCGCAGAATTGAGATTCTTAGGAGGCAGGCAGGACAGACTTGGGAAGGAGATGCCCTGTCAAGGATGACGCATGGGTGTCTGACTCTGACTTGTGTGGCAGGACAAATGGTGGTGCCTTTTGCCGAACTGGGGTCAGGAAGAGGCCCTTGGTTGGCTCTTTTGGGAGAGGGTAAGAGAGGAGAGAGAATTTGGTTTTGAGCATATTGAGCTTTACCTGGGAATGGGGATTGTGGGATCAAACTGCAGTCTCGGGGGTTTGTGTCCACCTCCCAGCTCTCATCATGGGGCCTCTCATCTGGGGAATCGCAGATACCCCACTCATAAGCCAACTTGTGTTGCTGTGCCCGATCAGATCAGAACAACAGGTTTTGAGGGCCGCTTTGTCCATCCCTGTCCTAGGCACTCATTGTGCGTTATGACATGAAACCACTCATGAATAGTTCCAGGATCCTTCTAAACACAAGGTGATGAGGCTCAAAGAGTAAGTGTAATTGGCCTTCAGAGATGGGAGAGATTAGCAAGGCCCGGGTTCTTTGGTGTTTATGTGATTTAAGCAGCCAAGAGGCCAATCTTGTTTGCAAGTATTTACCTCAGCAGTTGCTCTTTATTAACTCTAATCAGTTTCTAAGTCCAGGGAGATATGACAGAGTAATAAAAATTTTTAAGGGTAGTTCTGTACAATTTTGGTAACTGTGGAGGTCAGAGAAAGGCAATAGATGCACTGAAAATAAATATAATTGTAAGGTTACCTTGAGTCCTTCATTATGTGGATGTCCATATACATGTGTGCTTGTGTGTACACTTGTATGTTAAGTTTTACCCAAGGAGAAAAAGGAAATGGCTTGACATGTGGCATTTCTGGTAAAACTTGTGTAAATTAAGTTAGATTCTAATTTTTTAAAAAATGATAAGCTTTCTGTTTTACTGTAAAAAGGTTGGTAGTTAGGTTAAATTCTATTAAACTCTGTGCAGATTAGTATCCACTGTGGCAGAGCATGGCATCTCCAGGAAGAGAAGGGCACTTTCCTCTGATCCCCCAGTGAGCAGACAGCTTTGGGAGCAGTCTCTCAAGGCCCGGACTTCTAGCTGCTTCCATATGCCTTACCTGCCTGGTCTCCTCACTCAGAAGCAGAGCCTGCTTGCTCTGTAAAGCAGACATTTGTCCTCCCCAGAGGCTGCCAGTTCTGACCTCTCTGCTCTCGCCAGCATTCTGCCTTTCTAGCAACAGATGTTTCTTCAAAGTAAATATTATTGACTGCGCTTGGCTCCTAGCTGTGTCTTGCACTGCCTGAACATGAAACAGTGGTGTTATATGAGCAGGGTGCCGTGAAGCTTGGCATGCACCCAGCACCAGCACTGGCCTCTCCTCCTTCTCCTCTTACTGGAGTGTGCATGTTAGATTCCTGTGTGTATCTGAGTGAAGGCCCCAGAAATAAATCTCTGTGCAGCTGCAGATCCAAGATGATCATCTACATAAGAGGCCACCAATCCTTTTGGTTGAAGTAGAACAAGAAGCAATGGCTCTTGGGTGTTCTCTTTTTGATGTCCTCTCCATTGCCCCAAGTAACAGAGAGGTGTTTATCTTAATCGGGGAGGCAGCCTGGTGTGCTGACGTGCCGCAGGGATCTCAGTTCAGAGGACTTGATTGAGTCCCAGACCCCCTGTGTGCTCTTAAGTCAGTCCTTTGACTTCTCTGAGCTCTCCATACAGGTAGTCATGCTTACTCCCTGGGTCCTGTGATTGGAAGATTCACATATTAGGGAAGAATTGCCTAGAACTGAAGCTTACGGTGTATAGAGTGCTTATTCTATAGTGTGTCTCACTGGATCTCCTGACAGCCTCATGGCTTAGGAAGGGCTGGTGACTTCTGTCAGATGAGATGATGGAGACTCTGATTAACCCAGGGTTAGTTATATATCTGGTAAATGGTGGAGCTGAAACTTGAACCCAGGAACTAGTGGAGGTTGGGGTGAAGGCAGGGGGCTGGGGAAGGGGCTGATCAGCCTGGTTGTAGGCTCCAGTGCAAGTGGAGAAGGGAGGTTCTCCAAAGCAAGCTTGAGATGCTGTCCCAAAGACTGGGGAGTGGATGCTGAACAAGCCAAACAACAGGTGTCCACTGCACCTTCACTGAAAGATTTCTCTCTTAAGCATGAATCATTCAAGCCCATGGTGAGTTCCTTTTCAGATTCCAATAAGTAGGATTCTCACTCTCCCCAGCTGTCCTCACTGGCCTACAGCCCAGTAATGACTCCATACCAGTACTCATTACCTAATCTTCCGTCAGGGGGACTGGCTTCTTTATCAGCTTTGGGGGGCCCAGATCGCTTGTCAGGTTTGTGCTGTGGCGGGGTGTGCTGTGTGCCACCGGACAATGAAATCAGGTTACCTCTGGTCATAAGCTAACAGACCCTGCTCCTGGTTAAATGGGTCCTCCTGTGAAAAGGCGCTACAAAAGCCCTGTTGTGCATTATTAGCCACTCCTTAATCCTCATTGGCAACTGCCCCTGGCAGCACAGCTCCTCAGGTGCGTGCTGGGAGCTGTCCCAAGCCTGGCTTACATTTCACCTGTTTTCCACGTTGTTCAGATGGTTGTCCAGCTTGAGTCTTTCTTGCCCTGTTGCTGAGGCACAGGAAGATTGTTAGGTGGATAAAGAAGCAACCCTGTTCTTACTCTTTGCTCAGACCTTTCTTTGTGAGTTCTGAAGTTTCAATCATGAGAACATTCTGACTAAAATAAGACTGAGTCCAACCATGCCCACATTCCGTGCACTACACACCTTGGGCCTCTTGGCTTTGTCTTCCGCTCTGAAAGATTATTCTTCCTTTTTTCCCTCCTGCTTGCCTGTGGCCTCCTGTGTCCTTCGTCCCCACGGTGTTCTGACTCTCCAATACATCTGTTGCTTTCTCGACTTGCCAGGGAGTGATTTCTGTTCTCAGGGATATCCTCAGGCTGCATTGGCCAGTTTTAAGAGATGCTCGATTCCTCTGCCAGCATCTTTGGACCTTTTGTCAAGGACCATTCCATTAAAGTGACTGAGCCAAGGAGAAACTGGAGACTCTTTGCTGTTGGCTCCTGTGTTCTCCTTGTCCACTCCAAGTGCCTCCCTCTTTTGGTGTAGAGCAGAGGGCCTTACACAGGCCACGGCTAACCCTGCACCCTTTTCATCTGAGTCCATGGGAGGGCCGTCCCAGAGCAGGAGCCGCTGGTATACATGTGGTAGCCTGAGCCCCAGACCCGAGAACAGCCGGTTGGCCCAGCCTGGCTATTCTACTGGCAGCCGTTGCTCAGAATGAGCACTGGGCTTGGCGAGCTGAACACCGGGAGTTGGATTTGTATACAGTGCCCCCACCACACACACATTATTCACACACTGAGCAGGGTGCAGTCTCAGGTATGTGGACAGGAGACAAACAAAACTAAAAGATGGAAAAAACGTGACCACTAACTTCAAGGGACAAATGTGGGAACTAAAAAGGAGAAGTGCTGAGGATCAAGGAGGCTTTTATTCCAGTAGGTTATGTTGACCTGTGAAGCCAGAATTCCACCCGCCCCCCCGCCCCAGTGTCTTATTAAAGCCAGGCCTTGTTGCCGTTTAGGCCTCATATTTCCCTCCTCTGGGAATTTGAACATAATGCCATTTCCCTTCAATGTATGAGGGTAATTTGAATGATTAGCCTAATCTGCAGGAAGGCTGCGCATGGAATTAAGTTAAGCACATTTGTACTGAGCAGCCATATCTGTCCGGCCATTTAAAGGTACCTTGGTGGTTTTATATCCTTAACAGAAGCTGAGGGTTCAGGAAGGATCATTGGCTTTTATTGCTGTCTTAAATGAAAGCTTCTTTTTTAACTTTGACAAGGGCCTCCGAGAGCTTCCTTTATAGATACCATGTGTGGGGTGTGTTTTTACCCCAACCCAAGATATTGCCAGGGCTTTGTTCTGATGGCAGTGCTGGAATGTGGTGACCCTGGGAAGTGGCTCAGGTGGAAATTTGTCAGGCTGGCCAGCCACTCTGCTCATGAGGGGAGCTAGGAGGGTTCTGAGAACTCAGGCCTTATGTCTACTTGAGCCGAAAGAGGAAGTTCAGATGCTCCTGTGCCAGGGCAGTTCCAAGACCTTTCTTCCAGCTCCCTACCAATGCTAGTTTGTAGGGTGAGTTGGACTAGGGGATGGTATTGTTGAGTCGGACATGGGGGCAGCTTCACTGACCACATGGAGGGTTGGTGGCGGAGCTGAGCACCAGGGCTGTAGATGCTGATGTCAGCTCTGACCCACCCTTCCTCCCCAACCTCCTTGGGCAAGTGAATTCCCACATGTGTCAAATGGAGATGACAGGACTCACTGTGTGGCTTGAGGAATTAGAGATAGGACCAGAATTGTTAAAGCAAATGTAACAAAAATATTAACTTCTAAAGCAAATCAATATTTCACGTTATGAACAGGTATTCGCTATTTTGAATTTGCATTCTTTTGTGCTTTGAAATGGACTCAGGAACAAATCTGTTAGCTGCTATATTAGTGGAAGAACTAAAAAGTGCGGTAAATATAAAAGTCAGTTTATCTCAGTAATTCATGTTTTTTACTCTTTTTCTTGCTAGATTTGTCTTCAGCAAAGCGGAAATTTGCAGATTCCTTAAATGAATTTAAATTTCAGTGCATAGGAGATGCAGAAACAGATGATGAAATGTGTATAGGTAAGTCATAACCATGAGTAAGATAAAGTTCACTGTTTATCACAACTTTCAGTGTCCTCCCTGACCCTTTTTCCTGGGATAGGAAGTATCTAAGTGTCACAAATAAAGAAATCCTTAGTAACAGTGGAGGGGGTAGAGTTAAGTCAGGCTCAGGGGCCCGGGGCTGTTCTGCGCTGCTTCTCAGAGTTCTGGAATTGCCTCTCTCGCCCTCTGGCCTGCAGGAGAAAGTGTGAAGATTTGCGGTAGGACTCTTTTCTCCATTTTCCTTTAGCATTCTTCTTGGCTGGTTTTGTGACGTTCTTCCCCCCAACCACAGTACTAAGAACTTAGAACAACAGCAGAATGCACGTAGACGAGGGAAGAATTAGATCAGAGGTTGCAAAATAATAGCTCCTGGGCTGAGATCAGAATGCAATCATGTTTTCTTTGGCACTCATTTTTTTAATTGAATTACCATATAAATTGAATTTATGTAAAGTTCCGGTTTTCCAGCTTCTTTGAAAATTGGAGAATCTTATCAGCTGGCCCCACATTCTGATGTGGCTACAGTTGGCTGGTGCTATGTAGCTGCCACTGCCTTCAGGTGGGGAGAACAGTAGAATGCATGTAGTCTGGCAAAGTCAAGATGCCTTTCTTTGCCAGGGCCTACTCATTGTACCTTATTGTTCTTACTTTAGGCATCTTGGTTGACTCCTTAAGTGAACAAGAATTGAGAAAGTTATATTGAATTAATTAAGTCATAAAATGCTTATGGGGCCCCTGTTGCCATGTGGAGCGCCAGGATCTGGGATGAGCAAAGGCAGGAGGGAGCTCCTCTCCCCACCTGAATGGTACATTGTTGTAACTCCTGAGTATATGGATGCTTTTCCCAACATTACACAAATGTCTTGAATATCCTCAGGGCTCTTGCACTTAATGCCTATTGCCTTTTGGAATAATTCTTTTGAAGGAGACTATCCACGCCTGACCACCATGCTGCAAACTGCATTGTATTAGTAAGTGGCTTGAGGACTCAAAGAGGAAGAACCCAAGGAGAAGCCAGAGACGTGACTTCTGATGCCAGCAGCACTGTTTTTAAAGTTCTGGTGCCAAAGAAAAGGTTGGGTTCTGACGCAGCCCCACAACAAAGGTTGAGGAGGTCAAATTGTGGGCAGGAAATCCTTTAACTCCTAAGCGGAAGTCTTCCCCTTCCAGCCCGGGGCCTGGGAGCCGGCCAGCATCTCATCAGTCCTGGGTACTCTTGGGGACAGGCAGGTCTTTTCCTTGAAGGAAATCCTTCCCTGGCTAGAGTGCCAGGTGGAATTAACCTGCATTTCTGGGTCATCTTTAATGGTTAATGATTAAAAGATACGAGGAGCCTTGGGAAGCAATTGACTTTAGGTTTCTGCGTGTGCCAAGGGATTTCAATCCATAACATAATAGCTGTGTCTGGAAGGGCTTCCAAAGGCCCATTACTTGACTTTCATTCGTGGCCCCTTTCTCTTTTCCAGCAAAGTCTTTGCAGGAGTTTGCCACTGTCCTCAGGAATCTTGAAGATGAACGGATACGGATGGTGAGTATGGCTGGGCTGCTCTTGATCCCAGTGTGGTCACATCGAGGGAACACGGGATCTGTGGTCAGAAGAACTGGGTTCGAGTCCAGGCTCTGCCACTTGAGTGCTTTGAGCTCTGAGCAAGCCTTTTCTTCTCATCTTTGCATGGTTTGAAGCCTTTTGTAAATATTAAAGGATTACCCTAGATAACTTTAGAACCACGTCATTGTCCTAAAGATTCACTGTAAGGTGTATACATAAGATATGTGACTTAACAGTGGATCTTTTGAATTATTTAACTTTTTGGGGCCTCAGATTCCCTGCTGGCAGAATGGGAATGAACATGTCCCACTCTGCTCCCCACTCTCCTCACTTTATTAAACCCATCCAAGAGCTCTTGGAGGGCAGGGGTCACTCCTTTACTTTTAGTTCTGAAGCACCTAACACAGAGCCTGCCACGTAGTAGGCACCCAGTAAATGGTACTTCATAAATGATGGTGACTAGAAGAAGTTCTTCAGCAAGGCACTGTGCAAATGGAAGAATCAATGCTGATCTGATCGCCAGGTTCTTAAGAGATATCTTTGGTACTAGCATTTATTCTGATGTGGTTCAGCATGAACAGATGAGGGATTCCACATCCACAGGCAGTTCTTTTGCATTCTGCCCCATATCAGGAAGATGTCAGGAATGAAGCTTGATTTGCAACCCCCTGCTGGCTGCATGCTGATTTGTCCCCAGGAGGGCTTGTCACTAGGCAGCAGTGCCCCAAAGGAATAGGGAAGAGTCCATCAATGAGCACTTTTCTTCTCTTCCAGTACTAACAACTGACGATTTCAGTACTAAGTCTACTGGCTGAATCTCCTCGGGCTGCCATAACAAAATACCATAGCCTGGGTAGCTTGAGCAACAGACATTTATTTTTCACAATTCTGGAGACTGGACAGTCTAAGGTTAAGGTGCTGGCTGATTTGGTTCCTGGTGAGAGCCCTCTTCCTGGCTTGTAGATGGCCGCCTTCTTGCTGTGTCCTCACGTGGCAGAGAAAGGGATTGGGGGAGCTCTTATGTCACTTCTTGAAAGGGCACTAATCCCATCATGAGGACTCCACTCACGTGCACTAATTACCTTCCAAAGGCCCCATCTCCAAATACTATTGCATTGGAGGTGTTAAAAGATAAACTGAGGCATATTAAACTTTTTTTTTTTTTTTTTTTTGGTGAGGAAAGTGGTCCCTGAGCTAACATCTGTTGCCGGTCTTCCTCTTTTGTATATGGGATGCCGCCACAGCGTGGCTTGATGAGTGGTGTGTAGGTCCGTGCCCAGGATCCAAACCTGCGAACCCCAGGCTGCTGAAGCAGAGTGCATGAGCTTAACTACTACACCACTGGGCTGGCCCCATATTAAACTTTTGAGAGTTTATTTGAGGAAAAATTGATTAGAATCAGGCAGTGCCAAACCAGAAGTGGTTAGGAAGGCTCCACCTACAGGAGCTAGAGGAAAGACTTTTGTAGAGAAGATGTGGAAGCAAAGCTAGGAAACTATTTCGCGAAACCTTAAGCGGTTGCTTTGTTTGAGAAAGCCTGGCTGTTTGTGATTGGTTGTCCTTAGATTTTGATCTCTCAACCTTGAGGCATTTACAGGCTTAGGTTTTGGTTTGCTTATGTAGGCTGCTAAGGCATTAGAGCCACCTCAGTCTAATGGCCTCCTCATTTAATTAATTTAACAGAGTTTAGGGCTTCAATGTATGAATTGGGAGAGGGGAGGGCACAAGGACACAATTTAGTCCATAGCATCCACCAAGACATTATGTAGCCACACATTTTCTATTTTAACACTCCTGATGACTCTGTGAGGTGGTACCTGTATTATCCCCATTGTCCAGATGAAGATATTGAGGTTTACAGATGTTAACATGCCCAAGATGACACAGTTAGTAAGTGGCACAGTCTGGATTCAAACACAAATGTATGTTATACCAAAGAATATGGGAATTTCTTTAAAACTCCAAACAGAGCAGAAGCCTCTCAGCTTCTTGCCCTGCAGAGAGAGACACTATTTCCCTTGATTGCTCACTGCTGGGTGCTTGAACCAGAATCCAGAGAGTGGTGGCGGCAGCAGCAGGGTTGGTGTGGGTGGAGGCTGGGGAAAGCTTGTGTGTTTGTGCACGTGCTCGTGCCTGAGAAAGGGAAGTGATTCTTTTGAGTCTAATTCTTGGTCGAGTCAGTATTTGGGGGTGGGGGTGTGGTGAGCACATCACGATGAATACCCTGCAGATTGCTATGGCCTGTGGTCAGGGAACAATGACTGGATTATACTTTTCAGCTTGCTTCTGCAATTTTATTAATGTCAATAATTCGAGTTTCTACTGTCTGCATCTGAATATCTGGCCATTGCAAGCCCCTTCCCTACCTCCTCACCCTGTGACAGCTTCATCATCAACTCAGCTTAGTTTAGCAGAGCTGCACCTCTTTGGAAGCCTTCTCTGACTCCCTGGGATATTTGGCTGTCCTCTGTATTTTCTTAATATCCAGTTCAGGCCTCTGGTTCCGCATTTACCACATTGTATCCTGATAATCACTGGTAAATATGAGTTCTTGGAGGCAAGAGAATGGGCTACTGTGTCCCCAGTATCAGCACTGTGCTTGGAACTGAGTAGAAATTACACATTTCTAGAATCTTAGACCCAGATGGACCTTACTGTCTGCAGCCACTCATTTGACAGATGAGAAAACTGAGGCCTGCTGAAGGCTGATAGCAAGCAGAGTAGGACAGGGACAGGGACTTGGGTGTCCTGATTTCCAGGTGAGCAGTTAGTGCTTCTGGGTATTTAGCATCTACGTAGGGTTGAATTCTCAACCATAGATCCCCGTTGGAACAACCTGGGGAGTTTAAATACTGCTGCCTTGGGACTAAGCACAGAGATTCTGTTTTAATTGGTCTGGAGTGTGGCCTGGACATTGGGATTTTTAAAAGCTCCCCGGGTGATCTTAACATGCGGCTAAGGTTGAGAACCTGTGACTTAGGGACTCAGCACACACTTGTGAGCTACATAAACTTACAGTTGATTTGTGGAAAAGGCTTAAACAAGTGAGCCAATCAAATAACAATAAAAATCAAATAATAAAAATCAAACAAGTTGGGCCGGCTCCGTGGCTTGACAGTTAAGTGCCCGCGCTCTGCTGCTGGCGGCCCGGGTTCGGATCCCGGGCACGCATCAATGCACCGCTTCTCCGGCCATGCTGAGGCCGCGTCCCGCATACAGCAACTAGAGGGATGTGCAACTATGACATACAACTATCTATTGGGGCTTTGGGGGAAGAAAATAAATAAATAAAAAATCTTTAAAAAAAAAATCAAACAAGTTAAACAACATTGCAACACTCTAGTGTTAAAATGCTCTCTTCTAAAATAAGTGCTCTCAAAATTGAGAAAATGGCAATAAATTTGGAGACCTGTCACCTTCTCTCCCTACATTGTTCAGTTATTTCTTTGCTGTGTCCGTCTGTGGCTTCTGGCATTTACTCTGTTGGTTTCATTGCGATGGATGTGCACGTGATTTAGAAAAATAATGCTTTGTTGCAACAAGATTCCTGAAATAATTAGTTGAGTGACAAGTGAGCAGTGAATGACTTAAAAGGAAAGATTGTAAGATATTGGACTGCCTTAGAAAAGACCCATAGAATCTTAGATCTGGAACAATCCAGCCCACTCATTTTGCAGATGAGGAAATTAGAACCCAGAGAGGTTAAATGTTTTGCCCATGGTCACACAGTTGGCAGCCAATCAAGAAGTAATTCATTCATTCATTTAGTCATTCAAAAGTATTTGAGTGCTCCTTTGTTTCGCACTTTTCTGTGTTTTGGAGACTGTGGTGGACAAGTGAGCATTTACAAGATAGTAGGGCGTGTATGTGTAGTGGTGAACCAGAAAACTTCAGCTGGAGTTTCTTCTTTCTTCCGAAGAAAATACTTGGTGGGATGGTGGGAAGTTTCTTTGGATTATGTTAGTAGTTGGGGAAGACCTCCTTAAAGAGGTGACCTTTAAGCTAAAATCTGAATTACAATAAGTAATGAGTGATCCATGGAGGATTTGGGGACAGAGCATCTAAGGGAACAGCCAAATGCAGAGGCCCAGGAGTGAGACAGATTTGGTGCATTTGAGGTGCATTGGGGTGACGGTGTGGTTGGAGTGCAGACCTGATGGGGTGAGCATTGCGAGATGAAGCTGAGAGGCAGCCAGCGGTCGGATGTCCTGATCCCAGTCCAGTACTGGTAGAGCTTCATAAAGTCAGGCTTGGAAGGTTTTCATGCCACCAGATGTCCGAAGGTGTTTTGTTTTTGTTTTTAAGCTAGACTTAGTGTTGATCTACTTTAAATATGTCTACTTAAATATACACTTACAGGAAGATGTCACCTGAAGCTTCAAATTAGACCCAACTCTGTTACCAGTTTCTCTCTGCCTTCAGATGGTTGCTTACATTTTTAGAGATCCTCATTTTTATTTTTAAAGTATCAATCTTAATTATACATAGGAAGAATATCATGTTTTGAACTGATGACTGGATTTTGATTTGACTTGCTCTTAGTTCAAGTATTGTGAACAGTTGCCACATGCACAGTATAGCTTACTCAAATTTTATACTGAGACACAGGGAGGCATTTTGTGCTAGAACTGCTGTAATTCTTTACTGATACTGCTTTTGTGTCTCCCCCACGCCCGTTTTTCCTCACCAGATTGAGAATGCCAGTGAGGTGCTCATCACTCCCTTGGAGAAGTTTCGAAAGGAGCAGATTGGGGCTGCCAAGGTGAGAGTTGTGCAAACCTTGATCTTGGATTTTAGGGTAGGAAGTCTGGAATACCCGACACCTTCTTCAGAAAAATCTAAGCCCACCTTTCTTCAGAAGATCTTGGGCGGATGAGCCTAGAGCTCAGCTTCTCTCTTCTTCACAAGTGTCTGAAGTAAGGCTGAGTGGTCAGTCCCAGAGCAGTCATTCTAGTATTTTGTTATCTAATTGTTTTCTGCTAGTTCATGAATCATCCAAAGGTAGAAACCATGCCTCCTGTGTGTTAGTAGATACCTGTGTGCTTGGACAACGTAGGATTGTATTTGTTGTGGAGGTCCCAGGCTCAGAGCCTAGAACAGGGGTTGCAAATTGGGCCCTATGAGCATGGGGACCCTGTTCTTACCCCATTTTTGCTATGTGTGAAAATGAGCCCCCTTTTGCCAGAGCTTTAAAATTTTCAAGAGAAACTGTAAAGTCAGAGTTTTATATGAAATTTCCTGGTTTTTTAAAAATGGTGGTGAACAACTTAAAAATATGTATTACACATTGTATGGGTCAAAAAGTGGGACTGCTTCAACCCAGAGGTGACCATTTGTTATCACTTGTCTGGAGGGACTGCAGCTGAAACTTGGCTGATTCTAGTGTGTTACTCAAAGACCGAAAGAAAAGGGAATGGTGTTCTTTTTTAAAAGGTGGATTCTCCTGGCGGGGGGTGGGGA